GGCTCCAAAAGCAACTCAATTTCAATATACTTCAAAGTTAAAAAGGTCAACTACAGCCTGGTACAGAAAAATGGCTTTGGCCTCTATGGATAGTTTCCCCTTTCACAGCTGTACAGTGGGTGAAGTCATGTTATAACTCGTTCATTTAGATACTGCCTAGGCTTACATTTAGGGAGCTGCTTGGGTTAGCAGGTATGCTAACATAGGCAGCAGACATAGCTGTCTGCGATGTATTACCCATACCCGAAGTGTCTCCCACTGTGTGGTAGAGGCCATCCAGTTTTATTTGTCTGCTACTTCGCACTGATTACCAATCATGTGTCTCTATTGCACCCATACACTTAGCAGCTTGCTAACCAAGTTTGCAAGCATTAGGTGATAATGTAGTGATCAACTCTCTCAGGATTAGGGCCACCGAAAAAAAAAAAGTAGGCACGTCTTTTCTTTTTCTTTTCCAGAATTCTGAGAAAACAGAATTTATTTAAAGCGACAACTTTTCAACAACTATAAACTGCTTATAAGGTGAATACAATTAAGTAAGTTCACACATTGTTTTTAAAATGTCTCTTTACCAAATCTTTCCCCCCTTTTCAGATTATGAAATTATGGACACCTACGGTCAGTTAAAAGATTGTGGTGTAATAAAGGTCTAAACCCAAACAGAACAACTGTTTTGATATTTGATGTTAAAAAAATATCAAAGAACATCAGTTTTGATGTTTTTATAAGAGACACGCTGTTACGTGCGTGTGTTGGTGGGTTATTTGTTTCTTAATGTGTGTATGCAAATTCACCTGTGCAGGGGCTCGGCTGTGATTGGTGGACCTAAGGAACGGCCTGATGTAACTGGTTCCTGCTGTGGACGTGAACTATAAAAGGGCGACTGAAGAGCTGCGGTGCGGGGGGTGTGGCAGACTTCCTGTGCCTCAGGTGCAGACGGAGCAGTCGTAGCAATAGCTATTTGGTTAAAAAGTTGGGCATGTGTGTGAAGTGCGGAGCAAATAGGGGTGAGCTGCCGATTATTTTGGGAAGCCTTCTTTTCTCCTGTGTTTTTAGACCAGGGAGGTCAGACTGTGTTATTTCTTTCTTTTCTTTTCCTTAAACAGGTCAGAGGGGAACCGAAGCCTAGGTTGAGCTTTGTTTGTTGTGTTGGCCTTAGCTCACCCCGAAATTATACACTCCCACTACCGTGAGTGCCATTGTTGTCAATAAACTATTGTTAAAAGTCCGATGCTGTGGCTGTGTCTGTTTGGGCGTGGGAAGTCACGGGACACCCCGCTCTTGTTACGGTCATTTCGAGCCGGGTCGTAACACACGCTTTAGCTTAATATAAACCTAAAGGCAGAAATGCACATTTCCTGTTACTGATCACTGAGCAGGCAGCAGAGATCCTGAAGGCAAACAGAGTAAAAGAACAACTCAGATATGTTTTCTGTAATTAAGTGTGGTAATAAAATAATGTCTCAAAGAATGGTGAGTCAATGAGTGTAAGAAATTGCACTAATGCACCTCCATCAAACACGCATGCACTCAGCACAGTCTCTTGATGGCCATCATATTATGCTAGGCTTGTCTTCCTCCTGCCTATTATGTGTTTTCCCACCAGCTTGTTTAACTACTGCTGCCATTACAAGAGGTCTAGGCATTAGCATTCACAGCAAAGATGGCCACCAAGGAGCCAACCAGCAAAGAGGGAAACGTTGTGTTGTGTTGCTGCACTGTCATACTCTGCACAGCATAGTTAGTGGTGGTAGACACTTGTTAGCATAGTAAGGAAGTAGATGCGTCCTGAATAATGAAGCAGAAACGGAACAAACAGCAGTTAATCTGGTGGCCAGTTGAATTTAAGGTGTTTGATGCTTGCAGTGGCAGCAACCTCAAAAGCAAATACACCAGACGCCAGAAGGGAACTGTCCAGCTGAAGTACGCATCCTACTGAGCTAGGAGTCCGATGACATCAAGCAGGTCAAGTGGAGTGAAGAAAGCAAAAGTTTGAGAAGTTTGACTTTCAGTCAGCTTCTGGGTGATTCTGGAAAATCATCAGATGACAGAGGACAGAGAAGCAGTTTCCTGCCCACCTTGATGCAGAGGGATGTCTGGGATGGAAGGAAAGGCTTCTCCATCCTACAGAAACAATGGACACATTTCCAGGACCATCAATTATGCTGCATTACCTGGAAGCTGGGAGTCATGGTCTTGAACTGGCAAACATTTAAGCAGGGTGCTCCAAAGACTGTTTACCAACTTTAAGAGAATCACACTCCTTGGCCTTCCTTGGACACTCTAGTGTACTGAAGAGGAAAGGCCATACATTGGTCTAACCTTGGATTCAGGAGAAACCCTCTAGTGTTTGTCCTTGTTGTAGAACACTGGACCAGCTCTTTATTGTTTTGGGGCTATTTAAGGGTGCATGGTTTGCCAAACCAGTGTACATTTTTTGTGGACTTGGAGAAGGCATTCAACAATCCCTATGTATACCACTGGATGCATGTTACATACTTATCCAAACCCTAACCTTTGGGAGTATGGGGTATCTGGCCTGTTTTTAGCAGGCTATTGTATCTCTGTATATTCCTAGCAAGAACTTGGTTCACAATACCAGCAATAAGTTGGGCTTGTTCCCAGTCGGTGTTGGACTCCACCAACCCTCCCGTTCTGTTCACAGTTTTTATGGGGAGAATTTCTCGGTGCCTCCTAAGTGAGGTGTTTCAGGTATACCCAACTGTGACGATGCCCTCTCTTGGCTTTTCTATTGGCTGGCTTGGGAACCTTCCTGTGTCCTCCCAGAAAAGCTGGTCTGGAAACTCTGCTTAGGTTGCTGCTTCCATACCCTGGACTCAGATAAGCAGCAGAAACTGGATGGATGGTGAATCCTTAAAAATAGCTCTGCAGTGAGCTTAACTGCCACTAGGCTGCACTCTATGTGATGTAGATTACATCTCATCAAGTGTAGAGATTAACACACAGTGACAAGTGAAGGATATTTTAAGTTGACATCACACGCTATATTAACCCTCCTGCCATCCTTTAAAAAACTCACACCCATCACCCTAGGGACCATTCTCAGCCACGCCATAAAAAGACCATATATCCATATTTTATTCCACTTTAAATTAGCCAACCTTGTAAAACTACTTCTCCCTGAAATATTCATGTAAAGTTTTAATTATATTTTCGTTGTTTTAACCCTTCAAATCCCAGTGTTATTACATGAGCGCCCTGTGTTATAAGCCCCAAAAACCAAAAAACGAAACTAAATATTTCCACAAAAAACCAGTTGAAGTAATATGTGATTGTCATTATAAGTAGGCCTTTAGATGGACCAAAGATTGGCACCAACATACATTTTGACCTGCCATTATTTTTTTTGCATTTTTTTTGCAATTTAAAAATTAAAACTTCAAGGCCCTGAGTCTTCATTGACATCCAAGAAAAGAAGAAAAAATAAAATCATATGATGATAATTTGGGGTTGAAAAATAGCGTTTATAATGGAAGTCAATGGGCAGAAAATGGTCCCCAGGGTGATGGGTGTGGGGATTTCTGCTGCTCAGCCATTTTAGGCTGATTTAAGGAATTCACACTGGAATATTAACATTGACAGGTAAAAACTATCCTGTGGCAAGTTTGGTTATATTCCACTGAACACAGTGGAAATGGCAGCCATTTAACACATAGCAGTGGCACAAAAAGGTCCCAAGAAGGCAGGAAGGTTAAAACAGGAAATGCCAGTGTACTGTGACGGATCATTAAAACAAGTGTTTTTCATGCTGCCTCTATTGCAACTGCGCAGGCTCAGTTCATTAGAACAGACGACTCAGGAGTTGTGCCACAAAGGAACTGAAATCAAAAGGATTTAAGAAACACCTCACTCTGCTCTCTTGGAATAATCCCATACTAAACATGTAGCTGCTGTCAGCAGGAGAAACACATATTACTTATGTAAATCCTTAGTGTCAAAAAAGGTACGAGCTGTTACATAACAAATGTAGCCTGAACTATCACCTCACTGCATGATGGAACCTCCCAACATCCCACCAACACATGGCCTCATTCACTCCATCATCGCTCACTCTACCTGCTTGTTTGTGTTAGCACTGCCCTCCTACAAACAGGAACCTGTGAGTCTGTACAGACGCTTCCACAGGAGTAATACGCTGATCGGCAGCTTCACCATTACAGTTTCACAATATGTCAGCTTCAGTCACAATCATGAGTAAACCAGGTTGGATATTGAACTACTTAATTGTGGATTTGGTTAAAGGTTGCTATTTAACTGTCAGCTTTGGATAAGGTTTCATCTGATATGTGCACTAAGTGACGGTGACAAATTATGTCAATGTCGTCTGTATATTAAAGTGTTTCACATAAAAATATAAACACAGTTCTACAATCTGACAGCACATTGAAATGTTTCTATGAAACTCTGAAGAAAAATAGGAAAGGGCATTACAAAACACAAGTTTTGACTTAACTATCAAAAACACATTTTAGTTTCTGTCAGTGATTGGAGGGATAACGTTAACGCTGGTCCAGATTTCCTTGTCCCACTCACCTGACGCTCAGCTGGATTTAATCAGCGGCTTGTTCAGCTGAATCTGGTAAGCTGACAGGTGTCACCTGTGGCCTGCTGACTGTGCTGGCAAACTGGTAGCCTGTAAGCTGTCTACTAAAGGGGCAAAGGCTCCACATTTCCTACCATCTGAAATCTAAAAATTCTTCAATGATGAGGAAAAGGAAAAAACAACAACATACTTTTTCTTTTCCTAACTGAATCGCGTCACAGTCCCACAGATTTTTCTTCCCATCAACCAAGATGTTCCAACCCCAGTCAGTAGTAACCACCACACTAGACTCTTTGTTTCAAAGTTAAACAGCTGCCTGTTTCCAGTTATCTGCTCACGGTGGATCAGAATATCATTTCTTTATATGTAAGGAACACACTGCTGGCTTTAAGAAACAACAAGGTCATTGTGAGCAGCATAATCCTTCATACTGTACCTTGACGTTGTCTGGATGCAGTCCTCCAGGGTGTTTGTCCATATACTGACACAGGTCTGTGTGCTGGGTGAGGACAAAGGCAAGAACATCCCAGTGTTAGTGTGAAGGTTTTAAAGGTAAGTAAGAAAGCAAGCAATTTATTTATATAGCACGTAAGATTCCTTAAAGATCATCTAAAGTGGTTACCACCAAGTACACCTTAGCATATGCAAATGCTTTGGAGCAAAAACAGCTCTAGAAATTGGGACCAACTTGATGCTACTGTGATTTTATTGTACAAAGCAGTATAAAGGAACGTTAAATGCTAGAAGTTAGGTGGTCTAACACAATATATGGGCATCTTGGATATCACGTAATCATCATATTTTTTCCTTACAGTCATTTTTTGGGTTATTTGATAGAAAAAAGGAAACTGAACTCTTAAATATATATTGATTGATATTGATTGTAACTCCAAAAAATTGATGCACTGTCAAAATATTTTGAGTAATCCATTAAAAATACATGGGAGCAGGCGCCGTTTCATGGGCGCCACCATGTTGACCCACCATCTTGAATACAGTCATTGAGAAAGACATCATCGTTTTATGTATGTACATTTTACACTGTGATTGATTGAATTGATCGAAGCCTTTACTTGTCACTTGCAGTTGACCTGCAGCGAAATTGGACATAGGGAGGGGCAGCCATGCATGTGGCTAGAGCCCAGCCACTGTCACTGAATGCCATATTATACTCGTTTACAGCTCAACCGTTTTATTTTCAGAGTCAAAATTTCAGAGGCACAACTGTGAATATCTACAGAAATCTTTCAAACATGCTGGAGGCTCTGTTATGGTTTGGGTGCATTTTAACCAGTGGGGCTACTGGTTGAAATGTCAAAATTCTTGTCAAAATGGATGGAATTTTGAACGCAGTAAAGTGCTGTCAAATTAATCCAACATCCAGTAATATCAATAAATATTATGATTGTCAAATGCTTCATTTTTCAGCATGGCAATAATCCCAAGCACACAGCAGGGAAGTAATAACAGACCTGGATAGAAAAACCTACCGTGGAACACTATGAGTCATGGACTGGAATCACATCCAAATTAATAAAGTAGAAGAACATCCACAGAAGAACTTCAAGAAGCCTGGAAAACTATTCCTGAAGACCACTTAAAAAAATTATAGGAGAGCTTGTCTAAGAGAGTCCAGGAATGTTGACGTATGAAGGTCATCACATTACATAGAATTGTAATGAGCTATATTTCCATGTACATGTCTTTGTCCTGTCTCGCTCCCCTTACCCCGACTAGTCACGGCACATGGCCGCCCGGTTCTGCTGGAGGTTTCTTCCTGTTAAAAGGAAGCTTTTCCTTCCCACTTTTGCCAAAGTGCTTGCTCATAGGTGGTTGTCTAATTGTTGGGGTTGTTCAATATTGTCTTCAGGTTCCTGTTGTTGCAATTTAACGCTTTATAAATGAAGTAAAATTGAAACTGAATGAATATATGTTTGCATGTTTGACTAGAAAAATATGAAGAAACAATGGGTGGCTCTAAAACAGGACTCTATGTTTGGGTCTAAGTTATGTACATTTTTGCTATCTGCCATTTTTTTGTGTGCCTGTAAATTCTAATTGGTCCAATCAAGTTCAAAGCAGATGCTGTTCTTGGTCCACACACTACTTTAGCGTACGTCCCCAGGAAGAAGAAATGTGGCTTATTTTATGCCAGAGTTTATCGTATGAGCTGAATTGATATTCTTATCAGAAAATCAGACATGCACCCAGCCTTGGTCTGCCCTTCACCTCTGTGCTTTCAGAACAGATTTGTGGATGGAGGCAGTGACTATGAAACCACACTAATATTTACAGTCCCCTACTGCTGGCCACACCACAGAACCTCCTCTGCTGAATAATTCACAAAGACGCCTCAGCACACACACACAGCATATTTGTCATTGCTTTTCATGTCAGTTGTCTGTCCTCTCTCTGTGTGCATTTCCCCTGCATCCTGTCATTCACCATTAGCTTTGAGGGGAGAACAACGAATGGATTTTTGGGGAAGCTCAAGCTATTAGAGCACTGAACACAAGATGATATATCAACATCAACACAATTTAGCATCCCAGTCAAATAAATAACCACTGGCTGCAGGGAAACCAGGGTAATCCCTCGCTGTTAAAGGACTGTGTGGCATTATGATTGAAAGATGTGCTGTATTAGTGAAAAGTGTGGATAACCACTTAGGATGAGACATCACTGTTTCACCTTTAAAGGCAAACTGAACTTTTTTCTCATTCTTCATTTAAACACAACCCGCTGGGCTCCATCCTCGATTCAGAAGCCAAATCCTTTGACATGTGTCAAATCTACCAACAGGGGGCATTCCACCATCCCCAGTCTAATAAATGTAGTAGAGAAGGAAAGCTGAGTAAGCTGGTTGAGCGATCTGGCCTCACGCAGCATGAATATAAATGAGCCCATCAGAAGCTGCTGTCAGTTGGTGCACAGTAAAGGGTAAGACAAGATGAGACTGTTCTGAACAACCTGGGTTCAGATCTGTCCAAAACTGCGTTGAAAACTTTTTATCCTTGTAGTACACTCCTACTCTATTCCCTCTGTAGACACTGGAGTCTTTCCTTATTAATTAGAAAAACGTCCTAATCAAGTTATTTTGGCCCTTGCTGCACAACATTTGAATACTATTCTTTGAACTTGTTTGGACAGGCAGCAGAAGTCCAGTCGGTTCAGTTGGATGAAACAATACTGTCAGTGGAATAATCCTGTAACTGTGACAGATGTGGTCACCAATCCTTACAAGTATGTAGCTAGTTTCAGTTTAACATACTTATAAGGAGGTTGTCATGTCTGCTTCTTTTACTTCTCCTGGCAGTGTGGTTGCTTCCCAACTAAACACTAAACGGTTGGTGTAGGTGATGTAATTGAGGTCAGCCGGAATTCTGGCAGATAAGCTTTTCTCAAAGCAATCTTGCATCAGCTGATGGCTGACACGCGTTTGGACGTTTGCCTCTCTCATATATGAAAATCTCTGCAATATGTTGTCAATGAAGTCTTGGGACACTATCAGTGACACTGACCCCGTCACAACTAAAGTCTCTTTGCTGCGACGGGGTCTTGATGTCGCTAGAACGAAGCCATGCCAATAAGTACAAGAAAAATATCAGTTTTTTGTTGACTACAGTTATCCATATTTGGAAAAATGATCACTGACATATTTTACCTCCTAAGTATCCAGTCCACTAGAAGTACCAGTATTACTCAGCATGAGATTGTGACTGGAACCCAGTGTGAATTTTGTGGACCAATAATTTTTGCCAATGTTTTTGTCAACATGTTTTTTTTATGATGAAAACAAGGCAAAAACTAAAAAACCCTAAAAAAAAAAAAAACTAAATCTGAAGCACAAGGACAAAAACTTGGATAAAATGAAATAAAACGTTCATCAACAAATTAAAATGAGATGAAAAATAGGAGACGAGATCTTATCAGAATAAATTAAATTCTTTAAAAGGTTTTTATAAATAGGGAAAAATAGGGTAATCTCCTGGTGCAGTAAAGTTAGATGCACACATTTGTTCTGCCCTGTCTACACTGTTACTCATGGTTTTGGCAAAACAGGTTTGTCCCACCAGTATCTGATGTTGGCTCAACAAGACATCACTCTGTCACGATTTGTCTTTCACTCTCCAAACAAACAAAAATATCTTAAGTAGATCGCCCTCACGACCCTGGAAATGCTCCAGCTCAGATATTATTTCACCTGCCCATTTAAAGATAAAGACCACAAACGACTGTCACACCAGCAAATATTTGCCTTGGCATGTAGATACTTAATGCTGTTGCTTTTTTTGTGGGTAAGTCAGTTTGTTTCGGCTAATCTAATGATCATCATTTGGTAAACTGTGCTGTTCCAGAGGTTTCTGGTAAGTAACCTTCCTTTACTTGGCTTTAACAGTGTTGCCGAGTCAGAGCATTTCCACTGGCCATAAATGCATCAACAGAATATTATTTCTGTTATTTGTGCCCGCAGTATTTGACAGGACAGTTGTGGAAACATGCTAAAACCATGACCTTCCAATAAAATGCCCGCTTGGCTTCCTGTTGCAGGCACAGACAGACCAGGCTGTGGTGGACCTGGCTGCCATCCTATGGAGCAAAGAACGGAAAAAGCCCTAGCTGCTTTAACATTCCTCAAGTGCCCTAAAACTAAGAGTATGCCAATCAAAATATCTACAGCTCATGTTTCTAGCGGGAGAGTATTAAAAACTGAAACTCAATCAGCAAGGATGTACTGGGATCAAATCAATCAAACTAAAGAAACACATAAGTGCTGACCTCTGTTCTTTGAAAATGTTTTCTTTTGCATGCTAAAAACAGATTCTTGATCTAATTTTAAACCTCCACAGCCCCCCCGTAAAGAGCCCAAATGGGTGATCTCAGTGTGCAGACTCACCACATATTCAAAAACCAGAGTTAGGGTTTCCTTGGTGTGGATGATGTCATGAAGGAGGACAATGTTAGCATGCTTCAGGCCTTTCAGAAGAGATGCTGCAGAAACAAAACCGAACAGAAAGAGGCAGAGAGTTGATACCAGGGAACTGTGTTATGCTTTCATTATGTGCATTATTAGAATTTCTCATCACATACAGGGGATCAGGAAAAGATTAAAACACAAAGAGAAAACACGGGGTGGATTTACTACTCAAAGTTCTCACACTCATTTGTCAACATGTTCATGACGTAAGACTTATTGTTAATTAGGAGGGAGATATGCTGGGAAGATGATCAAATCGTTACAGCGGCGAAGCTTAAAGAGTCTTACTTGGGAGGCTGGGTATGATGAGCACATTTACATTACTTGATCGAAGTCACAGCTTGAATAGAGCACGGTGAGCATTGTGCAAATAATACACGACACATTTTCAGTTTTTGGTGGGGACATTTTATAGCTTTGACATCACAGTCAAGTTAATTTAGTAACAAAAAGAACAAGTTTACTTTTTTAACATTTAATACGAGATATTCTGATTTCAGATTGAACTACCTTACAAAAAATCTCAGACACAGCAAACGACTTCTACGAGCTTCTAATTTACTTTTTTCAACCAATGCTGGTTTTCAATCTAAAAGCAGTTCCATCAAATTAGAGCTTTTGCATAAAAGCTGGCATTAGATTATCACCACAAAACTGCTTGGCCTGTAGCCACTGGAAGCACTAAGTAATGAAAGGGGCTAATACAAGAAATTCAACCCAACTGGAACAAGTGACAAATTTTCTCCGCATGCAAATTACCCCAACTTTTGTCAGTATAAGACTAGTTCTAAAAGAAAAAAATGCTAACTACACATTAAAGAGATAATATTCTACCTTAAATCAGTGCGCTATATCACTCTAGGAATGTTAGCTTCTAAGCTAGCCAGAGCTAGCTAAAACTAATGCTACGTTTAAGCTGTTCTTAATTTATTTTTTTTTTTTAACTTATCACCTTGAAATGCACAACAAATTCTGAGGAGCTCACATTTTGGTCATTTAGTATTCCCTTCCATATAAATAAGGGGGAAAGCTCATGTTGTCAGTTTATGTTAAATTGGAAAAATAACAGCGTGCTTCCTGCTAAAGCTAGCTAGGTAGGTCAGCAGAGTTGATGACTGTATGCTGTCCTTTATATACTCTTTAAGTTAAAATATCATTGTATTTTAGTTGAATTTAAAGTATTTCATTTTTATTATATAGCATAAATGGAATTTTCAGACATTTAACAAACTGATTCATTTAGCAAACAAAAAGTTCTGTTCCAAGGGGACAGACAGAACCTCTGAGAGGCAGTAAGTGATAAGGTCTCATCAATATATTCATTCTGTATGAGTACCTGAAGGTAAAAAACACAAAATCACATAAGCAGATCAAAGGCAAGGCTCCTCTCAGCAGGAAGTTAAAGCTATAGTCTGATACCTCAAAGATCCTGTCACCAGTTTGAAGATCCAACCCCCTCTCTCCCTGCTCACACACACATCGGTGGTAATGGCTCGAGTGTGTCGACTTTTGCACGAACACACACTCACAGCTGTCTTATACTCTGTGTGCATTACTTTATTCAGCAGCAGTCTGTAATGCCGCTCACATATCTGTGCTCTAAGCTCACTGCTCAGTAATTGCTGAATTAGTTCAATTTCAAATTACCTTTCTGATCTTCTCATAGGGAGAGTTTTAACTGTGTCTGTGAGGAGTCTAGCTCTTACTTTATCAGACCTGGATCATAAGCAGATCAAACAGACAGCATCACGTTCTCATCTAAATTTAAATACCAGTTCCTCCCGTGGAGGTGACTGTATCTTCTTTCAGTGGAGTCTGTAAAACGAAGTGACAGGACAAACCAAGCCAAGCAAGGACGAGCTCTGAACTTCTATACATACAGGACAAAGTTTATCATTTTAAACCCTACAAGCTGTAAGTTAAGCACTTCATATTGTAACAAGACAATTCACATGATATACCTGTTAGCTAATAGCGAACTTTGAGTTTTTCCAATGCCTTGGTTCAGCTAAGAACCGACATCCCATCTCCAGTCCTGTTCAAGCAGAGCTCACTCCCCCAAGCACCAGAGATCCACCAAACACATGATCCTTACACTGAAATACGTTTTAGGAGTGAATGCTGAAAAGTACAAATTAGCCTTGATCCACTGAACAGATTTCTTCTTATTAGAGGACTAAGAGATGTCCAAATGGTAGTAGCATTTTTTTTGCTCCCACCAGACTGGATCAGTAACCAAATCAGCTGTCTGCATGTCTTTGTTCACCACGCCCATGAATCTCCTCTGTAGTCTCCATCTTTGGTTCTTTTTTGGTAGGTCCATCTTTAACCTCCATTGCCCAGCATATCCACTCTCTCTCCTCTGTAAATGTCCAAACCATCTTAGCCTTCGCCTGTCTTGTGCACTGTCCATTGCTTCAGATGGGTGACCACACACCGGTCTCGCTCTCTCATTCAAATGTTTTGCTTCTACTGACTTTTATTCTTCTTCTCTCCAGACAATGCCGCCACTTCTCCAGGCCCTCTTCCATATGCTCCCTGTCCATTGCTTTGGATGACTGTCCCCAGGTATTTAAACTCATCTGCTTTCTTTAGTTCCACACAGACAGTTTAAAGGGTTTCTGATCAGGTAGGGAAAGTTAACACTGACTGGAGTTTTAAACTCCCTATTTCATGATATTTACAGTTTATGACTGTTGAGGTATATGAGGACACGGCCTTGCCCTTACCACTTGCAGTTCTGGGCTGAACTGAGATATTGAGCTGTTTTCGTAGTGATATTAAAGTAGCTTATGTAAGACAGAAAGTGAAACTATTAATATAGAAAGAAAAATATGGTATCTGTGCCTCTATGCACGTAAACGTCTTACCTTCCCTTATGGCTGTGAAGGGTGTTCCTTCTTCTTCTTGTAGTCGAATCACCTTCAAAGCCACTAGTTTTCCATTCACCCTGGCAGCAACATGAAGCACACACAATGTATACTAAACTGATCGAGTTTCTTTTTTTGCGACAATAAAGGAAAACTCTTAAAATGAGTGAAGCCAGAGAACAGCGAGGATATTTAAGCCAGAGAAATGTAATTTGGCGGCAGTGGAGTGAGACGCGGGTACAAGGCGAAGGGATTACAACTGAATGAAGCTCACCAATCAAAGCTGTTGTAGTTTAAGAGTGACGCCAAATAACATCATTACTGAGAAGATTAGAGTCTTTGGAGTTTTGTACATTTTCAAGAATTTAATTAGCAAAACTTGCAAGCAAAGCGGCAAACCATGAAATGTGAACGAAGACTATTGAATCATGGCATAAATACATTCATCCTATAGTGATTAAAATAAAGGAAATTACATTGCATTTGTGAGGTGCACAGCTTTGCAGACAAGAAATATTATTTACATAAAACCTATTGAATTATTTCATTCCCACACAGCAATGCTCTCGTATAATTAAATGTAATATTCGCTGCATCCATGAGTGATTTCTAGCAACTATAAAGAAGAGTAACTGGATTAGACAGTGATTCCACGCTACTTACTTGCTCTTTCCTTTGTAAACTGTAGCATATGAACCCTCTCCCAGTTTCTCCAGCTTTTCATAGGAATCTGCCTTTCCAAATTTGGGGCTGGTGGGCTGCGGGAAGAAAAAGAAAGAGATATGAAAAGGCAAAATGAGAGGGTGAGTTCAGTAACCCAGAAAAGCGGCGCCTCGTAGGATTTCACAGAACACATTTACAAGTGTCTGAGAGATATTAAAATCTGGAGGCTCCCTGCTGTATCATCGAGGAGGTGTAATGTCGGTTGGGAGGAGGAGAGAGAATTTTTTTACCAAGTCTCTTCTTGTAAGAGCTCCTTTTCATTTAATTGTCAGCTGATAACTTTTAGACACTTTTCACCATCTCAGCACTTCACAGAGAAAGAAATAACTGTGGCTCGAAGAGAAGAAGGCACAGAAGTGAGCATATTCATAGCTAACTGCTAGGAAAGGGGAAACAAGTCAGCTCTGAAACTTCAACTCACTGGATGCTGTCCTAACATCTGCTGTTGTCAGTGATGAGGAAAAGTGCTTTGATAACTAAATGTAACTCTGACGAAAGCATACGTGCCAATCAAGTATGTGGATCACCTCCCCCTCGCTCAGTCACCCAAGAGGAGGAGTAGGATGGCGACCTCCTTGTGACTAAGAAAAATCCAATTATTTTCACATTTTCACAAATAGTTGTGGTGAGGTTAGGCATGCGAGACCCTCAACCTCTTGGTAACCACTTTCGATTGCAAGGCGATTGCGTCTAAGACAGGCTGGTGAGGATTTGTGAATAACTGATTTCTAAATGCAGACAGACTGCCACCGCATTGCATACAGTCTTAGTCAGCTCGCACCAGTGAGCACAACTATCTCTGCAATAGGCAGCATGATTCACCTGGTTGCCAGCTGCTTGTACAACATACCTATATTAAAAGAAAGGTTGCCAAATGTCATTTTACAACCACAACAACTATTTTGTAGATCTGTGAAGAAATTTCTCATTTTCTGTTTCAAATCTATGAGCTTTGCTGAGTTATCACAGTCGGTGCATCGCATTGCAATTGCCAACTTGTCCCCATTGCCACTTTATCAACATTTTAACACACAAAGCAACTGACCGCGAGTTGACACAAACATGTTTCCGGTCTTCGAAGCAACCGTTTCAGTGAGACCACAAGTTCATTGCACGCGGTCGAAATAATGTTGACTGTCCAGCCTCTGTTTTTTCTAACAGTTGGAGACCTTTCACATTCTTTGTCTATGGTCTGAACAAAACTGCAGAAATCAAAACTATAGGTTTCAGGTCAAACCTGAAACAGCAGTTAGCGATAACAGGTATCAAGAGACTGGTTATTAACTTGCTTTGTTCATCGAGGCTTTTTGCCTCAAGCCGTGGGGCACTGTCATATGGTTGTATCCGTCATTATGTAATTTTTTTCTGCCAATTAAAACTTGGGAATCCGGGCACTGACTAACAGTGTGCCGATGTAGCTGAGGTTACATCTGTCAGACGAATCCCAAGCCATGAGTGCCTGGAAGATGATTTAGCACTGGAGGCTATTCAGGTACCATTCTTTAAGGTCCTGAAGCACAAACATACTTAATGTTCTAGTCTTCAAATCCCTTTAAGCGTTGCTTTAAGAAAATGTTCTTTCAGAAGAAAACTGTCCTTTTTTCTATAATTTTAACACATGAACACAACAGGGACTGAAAACCTGCTTAGAGTCAGTGAAGCATCAGTAGCTTTTATGGCCCTGAAAGCACAATGCAACCATCTTCCCTTGTAATGCATCTTTAACCAAATCCCATGCTTTCAGGAAATCCCTAAATGATGGTGCAGTATTTGCTACATCTGCACTGTCTTCATTGCTTTCCAGCCACCCTCCTGTTAGCTCACTATCCTTGCAGCAGTAATAAGCTCAGCATTTCTGAGGGCTTCTCTAAACAAATCAGACTTCCCCCTGGGATCAAGGAAGAAGTGAAGCTCTATCTGTGAAACAATTGAGTTGGACAGTAAGGTGGCCTGAAGAACCTCTCCCAGCAAGGCTCATGACTACAGAACTAGTCTTTTTTTCTACTAGTGTTCTGCATGAACCACTTTCACTTTACATTTGCCTTACTGCATCCTCTTTTAGGAATAACTGGTGGGGGGAGTTCATTGGTACCAAAATATTACGCAGTTGTCAGAGCTGGATCATCACTTGGCCAAAGCATGCAACCGCCTTAACGTCCCTAAAGCTGAGGGTTTACTAGATATCAGCTGGGTCTGCATAAGTGGATTAATCACAAATCCAGAAGTAAGAAAATTTCACCTTTAAATCCGTTATTAATCTGGTGTCAGTCTGCTTATCATATGAATCTTTTAATTCATCTGTATCTTTACTTCATTGGTTTTCTGCTCTAACAATGTCAACTTTTATGACAAGAAGGGGGAAAGCACAACATTATGAGGCCATTAGACAATTGCTCTGAGTCAGGGTAGTCTACAGATTTTGATATGAAATGGTTAAAGACACATATAATCTTTAATAGTGTGTTCCCGTTTTACAACACAGTCACTTTTGTAAGCAGTTATTCTGACATTAAGTTAACATGAACTTTATTTTGCCATGTGCTGTAACTGTGATATAACGAAATTCCATTAGCCTAATCTGAGGTCGACTGTTAAAGCCCGTTAATGACTGATTCTGATGGGGGATAGTGGTTTATAGAACAAATCCAAATTTCTAGAAATTTTAAATGCCATGTCCTACAGAACATATAGTATGCCATCCCAGAGCCTGTGCAATTTATTTAAATTATAGGACAAAAGCCAAAGAAACAAAAGACACAGGTCCAGAATTTAGAAGTGGGATTCTGAAGGCTGATGGTCCAGAGATTAGCCACTATCCATCTTTTTTTAATTAAGGACTTGAAATGTTTGAGATCAAGTGGGTTTGTTTGCCTGAGCCAAATGACCACGGACGGCACAAATAACACAATTTCATAATCAGGGCTGAAACAATTCATTAGCTTCTCACAGCGATGTTGGCAGGCAATCAGTCAAGCCTCGTATTACACTCATTAAATCTTATCTGTGTGCACATTCATTAAACCTTTCGCATTCTGTGCCGTTTTTCTTCTATGGTTCTGAAAAGAACCACATATGTATAAAAACCTAAAATCTCATTTGCATGATTAAGAAAATTGTGTTATTTGTATGCAGTCTTCAATTAGGCATGTGAACAGATACAGGCTGGCAAATTTCTTTGACGAAGGAATAAAGAAGAAAAGCCAGCAGCGTCGCAGAGCAACAGAAATGCTGACGGAAAGTGGTTCTTTGACAGCATCTCAAAGGCTGTAATATTTTAGAGATGCATAATGCACTCAAACTCATTTGTCATTCAACAAATAGCTTCTTTGTAGTATTCCTGTGGCATTTCTGTTTGTTTTGTATGTCTTTGCAGTCATTTTGAGTTATTTTGTACACCCGCAGCAGATGGGCCCCTCCCTGAGCCTGGTTCTGTCAGAGGTTTCTTCCTGTTAAAAGGGAGTTTTTCCTTCCCACTGTCGCCAAAGTGCTTGCTCATAGGGGGTCATATGATTGTTGGGTTTTTTCTCTGTATGTATTATTGTAGGGTCTACCTTACAATATAAAGCATCTTGAGGCAACTGTTGTTGTGATTTGGTGCTGTATAAATTAGAGATGGACATAAAAAAGTGGTATCCTGCCATCTCTAATATAAATACAATTGAATTGAATTGAACTAATTTCCATTGACACTAGAAGAGACATACCATACTGTTAGCTCGAAGTTGTCTAAATCCTAAAATCTTTTATTACAATTGCATGATAACAGCAACCAAAACTAAATATTAACTCATAGAATCCTGAATAGAAATCTATTTTACATGTAAGAATGGTAAAGATAAAGGCGGTTGACCCACCCATGATCACCAAAAAAACGATCAATCAACAGCCGAACCAATAAACTTAAGAGCCAGTCGTGTTGTTGCCTCATGAGATTCACAACAATTTCCAGTGTTGTGAATGTTGGGGATGCATATCTCCCTGTTATCATAGTAAAGCTGTAGGCTAGAGTACTCATCGCTTTTCTTGGCATTAATTAGCATTAACATCAATTAGCATTTGTACCCTGATAGGACAAGAGATTGTTCCATATTGAGGAGTTAAGATCTCATTTGGGCACTTAACTTTGTAACCATTCCATTTATCATATTTACTCAGTATAAAGATCTGTTCCTAGAAGGAATTGTTGTTCCTAAAACTGTGCCAATCATAAGTCGTAGATCATGTTTCAGAAAGAGACTAGCAGTGATGTGGCGACAATATCAGGGGAAGTGCATCAGCTCATAAGAATGAAAAACACGGCAACAGTTAGTGTTGCAAAGAGGATAGGTCCCAAAATTAGAGGACTACCTTAACAACCACAGCCTGGAATGTCTACTGGCTCCCATCGTTCCACTACAAAACATTTCGGCAGGAGCCCTTGAGGCTTTGAACAGTGAAGTATGTTGCAGCATGTTAGAGCAGTAACATGCTACTCCCTCTGACTGCATCTGATTCCCTAACAGCAACATGCTTCACAGCTGCACTTACTGACTTACTGTCCCATTAGTACACCTGCTACATTTGAAGAATGTTAGGATAGGCAAAGAACAGATAGACACATAGAGAGATCTGTCAGCTATAAACAGATTGTTTTGTTTCTCTTTAGTTTGCAGTCATGCTCTTATCTTTATACAGCTTTTTATTAACTTTCCTGTTAAAAGTCCAACTATGACTGAACTATGCCACTTCACTCTGTAAGCATGTCAACATCCTCTTAGACTCACTTTCTGTTATTTAGATGACGATAAGGCAAGACATATTTACTTGTATGTGAAGGTTGGCCCTACCTCAGTTGCTTCAGTCTGAGTTCATCAGACTGAAGCAACACCACCACATACAACCTGTTGTATGTGGTGGTGTATGGGCAGAGCCTGACAAACAGGAATCTCTTCTTCACTAAATTTTCTTTTGAGGTGTGGATGGTGACCAATCTTTTAATAAGAGACGAGCACAACGTGGTTTCAAATATAAAGTGATTAATTATGAGCAAAAGAAAACAATCTACAAGCTACTAACTGTGTTTCCATGACAACACTGGCACAATTGTTGACTGACTCTTAACCCACTATTTATCAAACAGACACTTTATCATCAACACCTCTGACGATGGTGGCTTTGAAATGTGAAGTCTTGCTTAATCAGGCTTTTCTCCGAAAGGAGATCAGACCACTGTCACCGCGCTGACAAGTTTGATTTCACTGGAGTTGAACCATTCTATAAGAGAGCCTTTGCTCACGGATTATTCTGTTATTAACAACCTGCTCTTTCAGTGCATGCATAATTAATAAGAGCACAAATTGTAGCTTTTCTCACTACACTGTTCTGACAGCAGGTGTCACTGATTATCAGAAGGTGTCATAGGACAATAACAATCATATTGTGTAACTTCACAACGCAAGATAATGAAGTTTTAGCCATTAGGATGAGTCTAGCAGGCTGTGATCAGATAAAAAAGGGTAACTACCCACTGTAATGATCAATTTACAGTATCTTCTTCTATTTTAAAGTCAATTGACATTGCTGCACCTGCATCCACACTAGTCTTTCACCATATTTGTATTTGGCTGGTTAGAGCCTGCACTACAACTAGGTATGCATATGACCAGTCAGCTGCAGTAGATGTTTAAACACTCATCGTAAGTTGTTAACAGAAATGCTTGTCAGTCAACTAAGTATTTTTGTTTATTAATGAACAGCGCCACTTAACTGTTGTGCATTAATTGAGGTCCATGTCTCTACCGCTGATGATCCCAGACAAGCCCCCAAACGTAACGAATTTCTACTTTTAAAACTAAAAGTGAACACAATTATTCTTCCCAGGAAGGCCAATCGCTGATTTTGCTAGCATCTTTAACAGGTGACTTGCTTGATGCATGTACAACTTTTATCATTAGGCATGAATGTTGAATGAAAGTTCCAATATGATACGTTGATACACTACACCCATTAATTTTCCGTGCCTACTCCTGAGAAGTTAGTTTCCTTATTTTTTGGTTGCTCCTTGGTGAATACATAAGTAAGACTAACACCCTAGCATTAGATTCTTAAGCAATGGGATTCATTAATATTGAACAGCACTTCAAACTTCGTACAGTAACATAAATCAGTGTTGTTATGTGGAGCCAATTATCACCACTTTGAACAAGTTATAATCCTCCTCCTGTCGAAATAGCTAAAAGGAGTGCAAACTGCCACGTATACTCAGCCCCTCATTAAGGCTAATGTCCAAAAGTTTTTGATATTCAAGGGTGTAAAAAATTAGAAGTTGTGCATTTGGTTCTTCGACACTATACTGTGCTGTTTTCTATGCTGCTGGAGAGGTGCACTTACAGAACTAGGGCTGGAGTGGCGGCGCAATTTGGGGGACTCTTTGCCAGCAGTTGAGCTCTTGGCGTTGATGCAGGCATTGTTCTCAGAGTGGACCCTTTTCACCTGACTGGCGGGCTTCTCAAACGGGTCGAAGCCACTCTGCGTGCGCTGAACTCTCACTTTCTTGTCTTCAGGGATGGTGTCCAGGGGCTTGATGACAGAGTCTGTTCCCTGGCAGCTGCGTGTGGACATCTTTGTGACACATATCTGTCAAAAGAGGGGAAGGGGAAGGAGAAGAGAAGTGAAGTGAAGAAAGGAGGGTGAAGATAAATGTGAGCATTAAGAGGGAAAAAAATAGTCCATCTGCGATTACCAGTGTTCAGCCAAAAAACTGACTGTCATCCAGATCCTGCCTGTTTTTCATCTTTCTGTCAGCCTGGGTCTCTTCCCTCCCTGTAGAGCCTCACTGCTACCTCTTTGCTAGGATGAGAGCCTTTTTATCTCCATCTCTCTTTTCTCTGATCAAAACAGCTCCAGCCTCCGTCAGCTCTGCTGCACATGCACTCGCTGCCGGCTGCTGCCGCTGTCCCTAGACTGCGCATACACACAGTCCCACCTTATCTCTGACACACATCTACGCGTTCAGACAATTGTGCAGACATGCTACAGAATGTCTCCAACACGCCCACCGGGCACAGCCCCCAGTACTCACCAACTATTTACAACAAAAAGCGCCTTAGCAGCTGCTCTGCCACCACGGACTGTGTGTACGAGACACAAAAGACCCAGGCAGCATGACATGTTTTGCCACGGTTCCATTCAAGATTAAATATTTAGGTCTGAACTCCGCAGCAGGAAGAAGTTCTAATTACTCTAAAACACAAGGAGGAGTCGTCTTGCAGCTCACTGGTTTGCTCTTTACACGGGCCAGGTTTCATTGGACACAATGCAGCTTTTTTCACAGCGCAAGCCCCCTTCCCTGTCACGCTAATGTGATAAGATGTTATAAAAGAATAATATAAAAGCAGCAGCTATTGATCGGGAGGTTAGGTTACCACAGATTACTGAAAACCAGATCCAGGGTGCATTATACAGCACTGTTCAAAAGTCTTGAGCTATCCCTCGAAGAGAGACATGGACTGGTGTTCCACTCATTTTCAGCCCAGTCATGGTATCTGACTATTTTCAGAATATTTAAGCCACTTAACACTAATCTATAAGAAAAACTTGAAAGGCAGTACAGTATGTCTTTAAAAAATTGGGGAAAACTGGACAAATAGAGGACAAAAGGAAACATATCCTAATGTAAACATATTTTCAAAGCCATGTCCTTACAAAATAGGAAGAAATGAATCTGGCCCTTACTGGCACCTACTGTTTGCTGAAACCTCATCACAAATGTCTTGGTGGAAGGGCGACTGTCAAGAAGCCGTTCTTAAGGAAGGTAAACAAAGGTTGATGTACGCAAAATTACACAAGAAGTAGATTGAAAAATCAATGGGAAAAAGGGCTTTGGAGTGATTAATCCAAACTTTAAAGACATTTTGGGCTCTAAGTAATGTCAGTACGAAGGTGTTGAGAAGAGAAGCTTGGCAGTGAGCGTCTACAGCCATGGTAGAAACTCTGTTATGGTTGGAGCTGCAGTTGGAGATCTTGTCAAAACTGATGGAATTATAAACACTCAAAAGTACTGACAGAGTTTGATCCACCACATAATACCATCTAGAGAGCATCTGATTGACATTTGCTTTATTTTTCCTCATGACAATGATCCCAAGTACACTGCAGTAAAATCATATCTGGGTAGAAAAGCACATAATGGAACACTATCAGTCTTGGATTGGTCTGGGATCATTGCGAGAGACAACAGAACAAAAGGCAGCCAGCATCCAAAGAAGACCTTTTAAGGTCCTTCAAGAAGTCTGGAGAACTATTTCTGAAGACTTTTCCTTTTCTATCAGCAAAATGTGGAGACATGATGGATTGCTGAAGAATTTCGCTCAGTGCAAAGGGTGAAACAGTTATTCCTGTTTTTAAGATATCATATTGTATAAACGAAACTACAGGTCTGTAATGATGATGATGTACAATCAGAGGAAAAATTAAAGTGAAGAGCAAAATGTTTACCCCACGCAGCGAAGACAGTGGGAGGGTCTTGGAATATTGCAATGGTAGGTCTGCATGTCCCCTTAAAGCATCAGTTAATACAGGTGGCTCATATTCTGTGACCGTCACTAGATCGCAACCCCAATACTGTAAATCTCCTGACCTGTTAGAGAGCACTTTACACCACTTAGATGAATGTCAAACCAATCCAATAAGCATTTTGTCACCCACCTGCAGGTGTCCAGATAACTTGAGTAATTACAAGTTAAATTACACCTCCCATCCATCCAACCAAGTATTTTTTAGTAATTACGAGTCAATTACAACAGCTGCAAATCTCCCCACCGACTGCAATACTGACATCTCACTGGCAACCCAGAATAATGATGCTTTCACTGCACACTGTAGCTCTTCCAGCTAAACAGCTTTAGCTCTAAAGTGGAGAGGATGTGCAGCTTCAAAGCTTCAAGTCCGAGAGATCAAAATTCAATTATTGGAAGTATCACACTTAAAAGGTAACAAGATATTCTCAAACCTGTATGAACCAACTGACATCTGGACTTGACACACACTGAACCCTCTGCAGCTTTAAATAAAGTATTCAATCAATTGCATAAAAATTGCATACCTACATGCAACATATTTAGTCCAACATCTCCACAAAGTCAGATAACCATGATCGATGTTTTCCTACTTTCAATTGCAAGTTAAATAATATTTACAAATTCAGCAAATATTTTACAGTTTTGACTGATTCTCTGAAGACAATTCTTTCTTGTCAGTCAAATTCAAAATCACTTTTTTCATATTAGCTCAGTTTAAAAAAAGTTAAGCAATGCGGCCACTTTTATTCAGAAGATTTCAAGCATGAAATTAAACTCCAAGCAAGGGAGTGACATAAGAACACGTTTAGGCAAACGAGCGCGTAAACTGGGCCAAGTAATACACCGGAGTAAGATGTGGAGAAAATAAAAAGAAATGAGGAGGTTGGAGTCACACACGGTAATGAGAATATAGCTGAGTCCCATGCACATCCAGCATGTCCTCAGTGACAGCAGTTGTCATCTGGAGCAGCACATTAAACTAACAAAAACAAATGCAGTCATTTAGGACCTATCGCACTACAAGGCATCAATATTTGATGAGAGTGTCTGTTTAAAGATGTCTAGGTTCCAAGAAGTCAACATCAGAGAATTATAAGAAACCAGAGGCATGAAGGCATGAAGGACACGCACGTCAGTGAAACCAACTAATAAAAGAAGGATAAAACGGTTAATGCAGAACTAAGTTACAGGCTTCTGGAATACCGCACAATGGTATTGACTGTCTTGCCCTCATTTAAAAATTAACCAGTGACGGACAAGGTAAGCGACTCATGTTGTAACTGACGTCAGACGCCGGAGATTTTGGCGGAAAATTAAAGCAAATGGTAGTTTAGATTTGAACAAATTCATTTAAGCTTCAGCATTACCAAATACACTTATCAATTGTCTTATAACTAACACTATTTGTCTAAATAATCTCCAACACCCTGGAGAACAACGAGGAGAGTTTAGAGACTCTCCAAGATTACATCGATCAGTGCTTTCAGGATCTCGTGATGAAGAAGACCCCGTGTGCAGCTTCCCCGGCCAAAGCTGAGACGCCGTCGTCGAAAAGACAACGCCGGCAGATTCCCCGGCTCAACATCGCCAGCCGGCAAAGATATTGCCGACATATTGGAGTCAATCGACAAGCGATTGTCCAGTTTCGACGCAAGGCTGTCCTTGGTGGAGATCTTTACCGAGAATTTAAATGCTTGCGAGAATCCCTGGAGTACAGCCAGCAGCAGGTGGAAACGCTTGCTGCTGAAAATGCCACGCTAAGGGAGTCGGTGAAATGTCTCACAGATAATGTTACCCAGCTCAATAAAGAAAATAAAAAAATAAAAGAAACAGTTATCGATCTACAAGCTCGTAGCATGCGTGATAATCTGGTATTTTCTGGTATTCCAGAAGCCGCTGGAGAGGACGCGGAGACCACGGTAAAAAGCTTCATCAAAACCACCTGAAGCTGCCGGAGGACACTGTGAAGAACATCGTCTTCGATCGGGTACATCGCCTCGGCCCCATTCGGGCTACGGCCGGGAGACCACGTCCTATCGTGGCCAAATTCGGCCACTTCAAACAAAAGCAACATGTGAAAAGCCGCGGCAGGGAATTAAAAGGAACGGACTCAGCGTGAACGACCAGTTCCCCAAAGAGATCTTGGAACGACGCAGGGTCCTCTTCCCAATCCGACGCGGCTTCATCCAGAAGGGCTCCCGCGCTGTCATCGCTGTGGACCGGCTGTACGTGGACGGACAGCTCCACCGCGACCCCAACATCACTCCGTGGCTGTATTAACCTCACACCAGATAAGAATCAGCTACACCATTTCCCTATCCACTCACACTAACTTGCATTAACATCTGTTTAACTTACCAGTATCAAATCGCATCTTAAAGTGTGATTTCATAGCAGAATTAACACTGTCACTCTCCGTCAGTGATTTAATTGGAATGTTTACGTTTGTTTCTGTTTTTTTTTCTTCTCGTTTTTTTTTTTTTTTTTTTTTTTTCCTCCTCTCTTTTCCCCCTCTTGGTTTATGCTGCTCACCCCTGTCCTTGGTTTCTTTCTTTATTCCTTTCACTGCCTCGATCACCTGCTTCGATACTCATCCACAAACATCCTTTATTTCGACACATACGCACCATGCGCTCAACGGCAGCACATTTACATCAGTCAGACAGCGCACACAGTCATATAAGATACACACACACACTTAAGCCAAGCCTACTCATATTAGTAACTATGCATACACAAAGTCAGACTCAGGGAGCATCTCGCCACACATTTTTTCTCTCTCTCCTTCTCTTTATTTATGAACAAGTGACGTATTCTCTCCACCTGTCTAAGCAACGCACACAGCATACATCCTTAGTTATACACAAACATCTATGGGTACACTGAGGTTCATTACATGGAATATAAATGGAGCTGGCTGGCAGATGTTGTCCTATTACAAGAGACCCACAGACCTCTTAGAGGTTCGAATGAACTTAAAACACCTGAGTTTCCTAATGTGTTCTCAGCTTGTTATAATTCTAGACAAAGGGGAGCAGCAATTTTAATACATAAAAT